TTTTTTTTTTTTTTTTTTTTTGCCTTTGGGGCTTCAGACTCAGGGAACTCGCTCATGGCTTTCTTGATGAAGAAGAAGAAATTCAAATTTCAAACCACTTTCACTCTGGAGGAGCTGACTGCGGTCCCATTCGTGAACGGGGTCCTCTTCTGCAAGGTCCGGCTGCTGGATGGCGGAGATTTTGTCAGTTTGTCGTCAAGGTAGGAGCTGGGACATTGCCTGCCTGCAAGGAAAGGGGGCCACGAGGTCTAACTCCTTGGCCGTGTGCAGTTCTTCCTTGGTACCAGGGGGTCCCAGGGGATCTGTGTGTCGAGGATAGATTTGCACAAAGCAGAACGAGCTGGCAGGGTGCCAGGCACCTGTTTGCAGGTGACCAGGTAGATACCTGGGAGTCTGTTTCTGCAGCTGCCCTTTGGCGCTCCGCGTGCAGCCCACAGTAAGTCTGTCCTGCAGGTTTGTGTATAGAGAACCGTGGGATTTGCGCTTGAGGGAGCATCCAAACCACTGTGCACCCCGGCTGCACCTGGAGCCGTCATGATGTAGTTGGTGCCTGTGCCAGGACAGGTTCTCTGGCTCTCCCAGGTGGCTGCAAAGGTCCCGCCCCAGGCACTCCGGGGTCTGGCCAGAATTTGGCCTGCCCAGCCCCCTCTGAGCGACTGTCCTTCTCTGGCCGAGCTGGACTGTTTTGCATTGCAAATGCCCTTGTCAGGAAGCTGCTGCCCTCTCTGCGGATTGAGTTTGGTTTTGTGTTCATCGCCATCCTGGCGGGCTGAGGGTGACAACTCCCAGGCGGCCCGAGTTCGCTGGTCCCACCTGGGGTCACAGCCCTGGCTGGACAGATGGGCATGTGGATCCTGCCTCTTTCTGGGCTCTTGTTTCTGTTTCTGAAAGCTGGGCCTGATACCCTTTCTTGCGTCAGAGTTGTGGAGCATTTTCAGTAGAGAATGCAGTGCAGGGCCTGCTGCATGGCCCCCCCACCCCCGCCTGCCCTTTGCTCCTGGGGCCTTGTGGGGCCAGTGAGCAGGGCCTGCTGCAGTTCTGAGATGGAGAAACTGAGGCCCAGAAAGAGGAAGTGAGTGGCTTGCCGGGGACCTCAAAGGAGGGGGTGATCCGCTGAACTTGGCCTGTTGGGAGACCTGTTGGATGCGCTCAGAGATTGACTATTGCAGGGAGGAGGGGCGCTGCACGGCCTTTCGGTGTTGTGTGTGGACAGGGTAGGGTGCCTTTTCCTTGCCCTGGCTCCCTGCTCCGCTGGGAGCTGCTTATCTAAGGACTGCCCCTCGCTGTGGGTGGGGGCAGTCCTGGATTGCATGGGATCTTACCGTGCCCCGCTGTGCTCGGGCCTGGGGCCTGGGGTTGGCCAGTCACTGGCTGGGATTTTCGTTGTTCTCTAACCTCTCTGATCTCAAGGGCCAGGAGCTGTTGGTCTGGACCCTTTGACTGTGACATGGAGCCAGGTAGAGGTGGGGTCCCCTTGAAGGCGTGAGAACTGAGGCTCAGAGTGGTTTGCTTGAGTTAATGCAGCAGAACCTAGTTTCCAACTTAGGATGTGCTCGTAATCACTGCCCTGTCGTGCTTCTGAGTCTCAGTTTCCACTTGTGAAATGGAGAAGTGAGACCCACTCCTCAGGTTGTGAGGGGAATGGGTAATCTGTGTTCCATGTCCCGCCCAGGCTGCAGCCCCTCTGGGTCTTAGGGATACCCCTCCACCTCCCATAAATCAGAGCAGTGCGCCCCCCCTGAATCCCACAAGGGAATTGACACTGGGCCGCAGGCTGAGGTCTCACCCGGCCTCCCGGGCCCTGTGACCATCAGCCTCTCCATGGCTCTGAACCTTCCCTCCCATCCAGGAAAGTCTGGAAAGTTCCAGGTCTTAGCCCACATGATCTAGATTCCATGTCTGTTTTCTCTTTTTCCCCTCTGGCAAGGGGCCTCTGCTTTCCCAAGCCCAGCTGAGCCCAGACAGCCTTTCCCAGGCCTCAGCCTGCATGAAACCTGAGCGGGGCTGTGAAGGGAGGAACTGACATTGAGGCCCCCCCGAGGCTGGGCACTCGGTGGGTGCGGGGTGCCCGTTGGCTGCTGGCAGGTGTGGCTGCAGAGAATTTAAAGCCAGTTCAGAGCTGCCTTGGCTCTTGTCCAGGGTTTGAGGTTCCTAAGTTCCTGCTCCCTCCACCCGCACCCCACCCGCTCTGATCTGTAGCCCAGGAGCCCCACCTTGCAGCCCACCCCTCCTGGCTACCACAGCCCCATTGTTTACCAGTTGAGGGTAGGGACTGGGGTGACTAGACCTGTTCAGGTCCTAGACCCAGATCCAGTAGCAGTTCTCCCGAACCCCAGGGGCCCCTGAGATGGCTCAGACTTGGTGCTGGCAGCTCAGAGTGAAGCAGCCGAGGCCCCACCCTGCAGCATCCGCCCTCCTAGCTGGAGTATGTTTCCCTGTGTTGGGTGCCATGGCAACAGCTGGGTACACAGCTCCGCCTGACCCAATTTGAGCAGGTAGAGCAGGTGGTGCACTGGGCTGTTCCACAGCCTCATCTTTCCAACACCTCCGTACCGGCGGTAATCCTCACAGCCGCTGTGTTCTGAGCGCCCATGAGGGGCTGTGCTTTGCAGATGGTATCCCCTGGAGACGTGCCTAATGCAGAGAGGCGAAGTCACATGCTAGAAGTCATTGGGTGGTAAATGGCAATTGGGAAGGTAATTTTTCCTTCACTGTGGTTCAAACTAGCTTTGAACGTGCATCTGCTGTATGATTGGGGACTTGTTGCGTACCTCCGACGCATGATCTGTTGAGTCTCTGCGAGTTCCCGTGAGCTGAGGCTGTTGTCTCCATTTACAGGTGAGGACACCAGGAGAGTTGAAGTGGTTGGGCCGCTTCAGCTGGGCCTCTGTGTTACTCAGCCACAGAGCAGCAGAGAGAAGACCTGAATTTGAGTGGGTCGGAAGTAGCTGCAGCACTTCCACGTGGCATGCCCAGGCCTTTGAAAAATGCTCCTTTAGTGAGTTGAGTGGCACAGGAAAGTGCACGGTTGGCTAGTTTGGAGGTGCAGGGGAAAGAGTCCCAGGACCATAAGGTGGAGTGGAGTTGAAGCCACTGCTGTAGATGGGCTAGCGCCGGAGTACAGTGGCATTTGCTGGGGTCCCTAGACAGATGGATCCAAATGGCATCTGGGAGGTTTTCAGGGGCAAGGGCATCTCAGGAGGGATACAGAATCTTAGCCCAGTCTGGTAAGTTGGGAAGTAGCCAACCTCTTCAAGACTGCCTTTGGGCAGGAATAGTCCCAAGTATCCCAGGGCTGTGTTCCCAGCTGGTCCTGTGGCTTGCCCCATGCCTGTGGCTGGCGGTACCAGGGGAGGCAATGCAAGGGAGGTGCTGATGTATGTCACACCGGAGAGGAGAGAGCGTCTCCTCAGCTGACAGATGCGGAGATTGAAGCCTGGGACAAAGAAGTGACTCACTTTGATCACTTACAGGAGGAGCAAATGGCACAGCCAGTTGGACTCTAGTCTGGCTTGACCTCTGCCCCTGTACCTCAGTACCCATCTCTGCACAAAGAAGGTGGGCTGGGCTAGGAAAGAAAGGTTGCTGCAGGGACTCCTCCAGCTCTGAACTTGTATGCCTGGTTGTCCAAGAAGCAGCCTGAGACTGGAAAGTCTGCTTCCCTGTCCTTTTCTTCTCCGGCAGCTTAGAGTGCTCCTTCGGCCTTTGGTGGGTTTATTTGGGCAGACTTGAAGGAGCGCCTGGGTGCTCACCACACAGGCACTGCCTGCTTTCTGTGGGCATGGACTGGTGCCCACCCAGATGGGAGGCCACGGAGGGCCATTGCCTTGGACAGGTCAGCTGTACAGCTGGAGGCTGTGTGCCCAGGCCTGCTGGTCTTTCCTCACACATGCTTGGCAGAGCTGTGCTTCCGCAGTTCCTCACCCGCCCTCCTTGGAAGAAGCTGCGGAATGCCGCTTGGGTCCACTGCCATGCGAGGCCTGTTCTCAACAGGAGTGTCTTGGCATGGAGCTGTAGGAAGACAGAGGGGAGGGTCATGAGTGTGCACGTGCAGGGGACCTCTGCGGTGGGCAGGGTGTTCACTTTCCTGCTCAGAGCAAAGCCCAGAGGCTGAGAGCACCAGGGAGGATGGAGGGGCAAGCAGGGGTCCTCATTCCACTCTGACCAAGTACCCATTGGTCCTGGGCTTCCGCAGGTAAGCGGAACCAGACTGCCCTACTCCCTGGTGGGCGTCATGGGAACTCTGGAGCCAGCCAGATGTGGGGTGGGTCCCTGCGGATCCCACTGGACCCTGGCAGACCGGCGGGGAGGCACTTCTGCTCAGGCTCCTGGCCACTTGTCATCAGGCCAGGGCCCAGGCCGTGCCTTCGTAGGGCTCACTGTCTCTTGTGAGACATAGGTAGGGAGGGCTTCCCTGGGAAAGGAACAGTTCGTGGGAGCCTTGATGGTGGAGGGGTTCTAGTAGGGCTGAGCCTTTGGAGTAGAGGCCCCTGGCTGGAAGGCACTTACTTGGTCCTGGAGTAAGTCGGATGGACAGTGATGGTCCAGACTGTTCCCTGGACTCAGGAGCCCTGGAAGGGGCAGGGGAACAGGTAGAGAAGGTGCAAGGGGGCCTGACCCACACCTGGTGAGAGCCGGTGGGAGTTGGCCTACAGGCAGTGCTGGCCTGGCCTGGCTGGTAGTGGCAGGCAGAGGAAGAGGAAGCGGGACAGATTAGAGGGGCTGGCAGGCGAATGGTCAGGTTGGGTCCTCATCCTGTGAAGGCCTGGCCTGTGCCTGTTGCCTAGAGTTGCCGGAAGATGGACATTCAGAGGGTGCAAAATGGCCTAACATAGCCGGCATTTTGTTGACTCATGCAGTGCTCTGTAGTTGTTGATCCACATAAAAATCTGGACTTTCAGTTTCTTTTAAGTTGGAAGATCTGACAACAGTACTGCGTGGCACTGTTTGGCTCAAGGGGATTTGCAGCTACTTCGGCGTGAGCTGTCTGGGCTGCGCCTGAGCCCAGAGCACGTCTGTGGTCCCTGGCGTGGACCCTGTGGAAGGCCTTCCGTGTCTGCCAGAGGGGCTCATGAAGAGAAGTCCCAGGGCAGGGAGGTCAGGAGGCCTCGGGCCAGTTCAGGCAGCGGGGCTGTGGTACCAGGGCAGGTGATGCTGCTGGTGGCCTTGGTGAGGCCTGAGGCTGCCCTGATTGTGCCTG